CTGTCATTGCAGGCCACCTCAATTTTCTTCACAGGGCTTTGGGTTTCACGATAAAAAGTCGGCAGTGCATGATGTTAAAGGTTTTCGAATGTTCTGTCACATTTTGCTGCTGTCATCTTCAGCGTTAATGAATATGGAGGGGACCTTATAAAAATTAATTTTCTTTGTTTAGCTCTTCAGAATATCCAGTGCTACCACCATCAGTCCATGTCTGTTCAATGTTCCGTCAAGCTATACACACAGTGTGTCCAGGTTCTGTTAGAAATGTGTTCATTAAAAATACTCTTTTTCTTCAAAATAGTCTCCTTCTGAACCAATAGAAAAGTTTTCGAAAACAGTCGCTGTACTCCTTTTGTGGAATCGCATTTAAAACTGTGGTAGATTCCCTTTGGATGTCCTGTATGGTCTAGTGACGGCCTCCTTTCATCGCCAACTTAACTTTTGAGAACAACCAGAAATCTGCTGGAGCCAAATCTGGCGAATATGGAGGATGATCAAGGACTGTGATCCCTTTTCTGGCCAAAAAATCGCACACAATCTCCGATTTGTGGGGTGGGGCACTGTCGTGGAGGAGTGACCAGGAACCTTGCTCTCGATATTCAGGTCGAATTCAAAGAATTCTCACCCACAAACGATTGAGGACTCCAAGATAATAATCAGATTTCACTGTGTGACTTTCTGGCAGAAATTTCTTGTGAATGATTCCTTTGGAATCGAAGAAAATGGTTAACAATGTCTTTACTCGACTCTTTTGCATGTGCACTTTCTTTGGTTTCGGCTTCTTTGAGCTCAACCACGCTGCACTTTGACACTTTGTGAGAGGCTCATATTGAAAACACCATGTCTCATCACCAGTAACAATCGATTTTGTAAATTTTGTACCACTTTGGGCCGACCGTAACGTGTCCTTGCAATGTTCCACTCTGGCATGTTTTTCATCGCCTGACGGCGCATGCAGTATAAACCACGCACAGACCTTCCGTTTGCCCAAATCCTCGGTCAAAGTTTGATCCACAGTACTTTTTGGTATTCCCAAAAGCTCCTCGATGAGTCTTGCAGAAACACATCTGTCTGATGCAAGGATTTTGGTCAGTTTTTTCACATTTTCTTCAGTGCGACTTGTTCTCGGCTTTGATGCACATGGAGCATCTTTAATGTCCTACCTGCCATCACGAAATACAGTATACCATCGAAAAATGTTCGAGCAACTCAAACAATCACTACCGTACACACTTTTCATCATTTCGTACGCTTCTCCGGCTGTTGGCTCTCTGTTCAACCACCATTTTCTGATGAGTGTCAGAACAGTACTGTTACATTCAAGGTCAGCAGACATTATGCAGTGATGCTTGCGCTTTGAAATTATAAGACAGCCACAGCTGAAACTTCAAGAATCTTAACGCCACAACTCGCCAACATATGGCATTGCAGGACAAACTTTAAAAAAATTAGGCCTAACAGATCCTGGACATACTGCGTATATTAACATCCAAAGGAGCTGGGATTCTGTTGTAGCCGTATCACTGACACCACCAGCTTTATTTGTAATTAAGATTTTTTTTAATTATAGTAATTATGCCTAGGATGCAGTAAGGACCATTCAAGGGTGACTTAGCCCGATTCTTGATTTCAAGAATATGGCCTGCTTCACTACTACAAAAACAAGGCACGAAGCGCCTGGCAGCATTCTCCAGGAAAGTCAGTTTGAAAGTTGACAGGAGGGATCCTTTGATAAAGTTATACTTGACAGGTTCTGAAACCCGTAAGTCACAGAGAGGCAGGCCCACAATCCACACTACTGGTATACTTTTGTAAGCAACTGTCAAAAAGTGCATTGGGTCATCACGGGTGAGAGTCCCTTGAAACAACAAGATGATTGGAGCAGTGAGAATTAGAGTAAACTCCCAAAATTCAAACTGTTCCAATCAACAAACTTAGGGTAGTAACTTGAGGTGGAGCTGAAGCTGTGAAGACTTCTTGCCCCAAAGCACAGTCAGTCTGCAAAAGTAGTTGCTTAATAACTCACCAAGGATCCGGCCACAAAAGGCAGTGTGATTCCATGTTTGGTTTAAGTGTTTAAGTTGAAAGTAAAATTATTTTGAAGTGTGTTACTAGAACAGTTGCTAATCATATTAAGTAGATTTCTCAAGTCAGAATCTAACTAGCACAAGAACCAATGTTACTGACTGAAATATTAAAAGTGCTCACTAGCAAGTGTTGTGTAGTGCATAGCATTAGTCACTCTTGTCTCTCTGCTAGCATGAGGCCTGGATACACCTGAGACTGAATCTCATTGCCCTGGTGCTAAACCAGTACAGATCACCTGTAGTTCTCGTACATTCCCTTTTCTTCCCGAATAGTGAGCCTTTATAATAAGCTTAACAGTGCCCATCCCTCATTGTAACCCATATTCCGTAAACTACCAACATTCACAATAACAGCAACAAGGGGAAGAAGCGGTGGATAAGGACGCAGCAGCAACCTGCAAACTCGACACACCAAGAGGTGAGAGGGAACGGTTAGAAAGAAGTCGCTCCAAAGGCAGGCAGCAAAAAGCAGTTAGAGAGAGAGCTGGCACCAAACGTAAGAGCCCAATGGTTATACTGTTTGACAGTAATAACAGAGGATTTCATTTTCATTCAAACAGGAGAGAAAGTATGAACGGTGAGTTATCTGCAACAAAAAGGACATGAAGAGAACTGAAGAAACATACTGCTGCACTGCACATACTTTCTCATGTACGACTGACCTTCGCTATGTAACCCTGGAAAAGAAACTGACCGCTGTCTGGCAGGCCACTGCTAGTCGCTGATTATACAAACCAGGCCATGACACTGCCTAACACTCTAGGCCCTTAGTGCATGTACCATTAATTTCCAGAAGTTAACACCTATGAAGCTTTACTTAAGGATACAGTCTCCATAAGTTAATGAAATCTCTTCCAAATCATTCAAGCTGTATAAAAAAAATTGTGTTCATTTCCTGAGGGCCATCTGAACGGCCCTTATTTTTGGACCTAGAATGTTCATGTTCAACTGCTATGAACCTACAATGGATATACTCTTAAACATTAAATATGAATAAAATCCACCCAACTGTTCATGCACTAGCAGGGGTCACATACATAATGTAGCATGTAGACCAATTGATGGGCAACAACCGTGAGATAAGCAAATATACAGGGGTCATTGCTGAGAGGCTCAAGTGTCATGACTGAGGTTTCACATGGTCTTGTCAGACTCTCCAGGCATATGCATGGACAGTACTGGAAATCAAGCAATGACTACTTTCTACCACATCCTTCATAATTCATTATTCACCATTAACTACAATTTACCACTTCACGGTCCAAGTTACCAACACAGTTGTTGACTCAAATGTAACTACACAAATATTTGTAACCTTTGAAATTAAAGACTGCAGGAATCGATCAGAAAGAGTGAAAATAACGCTGTATAAAATGAGATCTGTCTCGTTGGATATAATGTCATGTAGTCTGTTGAAAGCCAGCTAATGTTTTGGAGGGACATGTTGCCCCCATCTTCAGGGTCAAAGAATGAACCAAACAAGAAACCGACATGAAGCAATTCGCAGAAGCTCTGCTTGCTAACTGCTTCTTCCTTGGTTTCTTCTTTGACCCTGAAGATGGAGGCAACATGTTCCTCTGAATGTTGGCTGACTTTCAGCTAAGGCATTATATTCCAAAAGAGAGAACTCTTCATAACCATCACTGTGAGAACCTCAAATCCTATGCTATTTTATACAGTTTTCATAAATTTTCAAACATACAGATTGTGCAACCATCACAGGAGTTTCACAGAAACACTGCTATAACTGGATGGGAAGAATAATTAATATTATTGTATCCAATTTTATTAATACTGCAGTTCAGTGGTGTATATATGTTAGCCATGTATTTGCCTGATGATGGCTATTAATTGCCGAAATATGTAGCAGAGCTAAAACCAGACACTGACCTTGATGTGGTTGTGTTGTGACGGTCTTAATAAAGAAGTTATATCGATGGGAAGTGTTTGCTTAAGGTTACTGCACTTAATACAAACCAAATCTAACTATCTAATCTCACTAACATAACACCAAACTTGTAACATATCAATAAATTACAACTTTTACACACTGCAAGTGATTTTAACTCGTGCCCCTAACATCCACCTGGACGAACAAAGAGATAGGAGAATAATGTTAAAACTGATCTTTTGGGAAGCAGGGTGGGAGGGTGCAACCTGAATGAATTTGACTAGTTGCAGGTTCTTCCAAACATGGAAAAGAACGAAGAAAGCAGTCTTCTGGGATTTGGCACCGTGTATATGTGGTTTTAACCGATGTTTCGGAGGAATGTCGGTTAACACCACATACACATGGTGCCAAATCCCAGAAGACTGCTTTCCTCATAGTCACCGCCGCGAAAGCCTCAAATCTTACATGGTAAAGAAACTTTGGCCTGCAAAAGAGAGGGAATTTCTTTTGGGTAGCTGTGAGACTACTAGCTTTGCAAGGATTCTGCTTCATAGTTTTGTATGTGACATCAAATTATGTAACAGCTGCCTTATTATTTTTTATAACAAAAGTTTAACCATTTGCATGTTACATGTATGGGCTACTGGGATGCTAAAATGCACAACAAAAATAATGCAAATGAAAGGTGCGACCTATCACCATAACACATCAGGGAGGAAGCACAACAGGAAAAACTAGAGTGACTGCAGACAAAGTTCATCTACTCTAGAAACCAGAGTATGTCATACCTTGAGTACACAGCCTTACAGCAACAGTCATGTGTATATTTGAATTTCCCAGTAGTATATGAAAGCAAAAGTGTTCTGAAAGCAGAATCTAGTTTCATAATCCTGATATAACGGTCTGTGTCACTGATGATGAACCCTCATTCCCACAGTAAATTCAGAATACTAAAATTCTTCAAATTTGCTGCATTCCTGGCTATAAATCTCTGAACTTATAGTAATATTTGGTGCATGTACCTGTTCTTCTGCAAACAGTTCATTGACTTCTGAAGCCTGGTGACCACCTGGGCCATAATGATACTCGCTGCCAAAATCAGTTGCTCCTGGCACTCTGTCTGTTCTGTGGCTACCATTGGGTTGCTGCTGCTGTGAACTCGTGTCTCGGTTCCCAAGACCAAACCTTGCCCAGTCAATATCCCTGTTGCTCTTACCATTGTGATGTGTAAATGAGGGGTCCATTCTAGTTATGTTCTGCAATTATGTAAGTTACTTCACTTTTTCATTGTAATTTCTGTAATGAAAATGCAATCTAAAATTATCTGCATTGAAACTAATTCAATAAACACTAACTTACATGTATCTTTCCCATAAGTCACAACAATCATCATCTTGATATTTCTGAGGCCTCAATTATCGAAAATACTGATATTTTTTAAAACAGCTCTCCTCTGAATATTTAAACAACAGTTTACGTGCAGGTACCATGTACCTTCTGCAATACGTCACTGTAACGTCTTGATCAAAAGATTTCCTTGGAGCATGTACCTGACATACACTGTTACCACCGCCATACCACACCATATTGTACCTTCCTGCGGGGAAAAGCTGATAAGAATCTAACGTAAGGTATTTTTAAATTCACAATGGCATACGTACACATAACGCAACCATGAAACGTCCTCCACCTACAAACTCCACTACATTCCTTTATAAACACCCACGATATACATGGCCATACGTGACAGCATCGCCTAGTATAACTGTAACGACTGTACCTCTGTCTCTTTCTTATAACATATCCTGTCAGTTGATGAGCACAATATTAAAGAATGAAACACGGTACTAAACGGTACTGAGTGCATGATCAATTATAGGTGGGAACATAATTACCAACGTCAAACTGTAGACAAAATCCGAATGCCACTAAACTCCACAATCCCAACTTCCGTCAACATACTCATTTCTCCTCATCGCTCCCCAGTCACACTTTCTTATCCTACAGATCAGCGGCCCACGCAAAGGCAACTGGTGGATACAGTATGACCAACATACGTGTTCTTAATCCGTGAACTCCATGAAGTCCATGATTGAATGGTAGGCTAAATAGTACTAATAGTCGAATTGCTACCACGGTAACTACGTTGTCACGTGTCTTGTAGTGTGGTAGCAGCGGTAGCAGTTCAACGACGTTACCGACCATATGTTGGAATGTATTGTTCATAGTGTCTGTAGTGGTTTGTAGGCAATGCATTCCGCCGGAACGTCAGTAAACTTGTGATTGACCACATGGAGTAACATCCCAGAAAATAGCGTACTTCACGGTCATAGTCACGAGAATCTCAAATCGCAGAATAGTAGGTTCATTACAATTAATTGACATTTTCTATTAAAAGTCTAATGAATGAACCTCTATTGGCTTTTATAATGCATTCGGAATGTGGATAATTATGAAACTATAGACGACATACCTGCAATGATCAGTTAACTGTGCAAGGCTTCTAACTGTATTGCAGGACCTATTAAACGAATACACGAAACAAGCACAGTACATAAAAATGAATGTATATGTTTCTCGAAGAGGAAGTGTGGATGGTATCAGAAGCTGGAGTGAGGGCGGTTCCATATTACGATAACTTATCAGATCCTCAAAGCAACTGTCAGTCATGTTCAATATCTCTTTGAGCTGGGTGATGCGAATCATTCTTAATCAAAAACGAGAGGAATGATATTCGAATGTCTCCCTTATCGAATTTAATGAAAATCTGGCCCACGGTCACAGGGCAGATACGATCTCTACTTAGGCGATCTCTGTTATGTTGCAAAAAGCTCATAAAAACGAAAGGTCATTTTTATATACCCCGGAATATTTTGCGTTCCAAAAAGTCGGTATACAGTTGTTATCCCCAAGTATCCATAAAATACGCAGTTTTTGCAAAGTGCATTCAGAATATACAGGAAGGATTTTTACTTGACTGGTTCCACAGTTCTGCGCTTCATGGCGGGTTGTGTGTCACTTGCTGCAAGGCACATGCTAATTTTGCCGATGAATCAGTATGCCTAATAGCTTATAATGTTCCGAATGAAGGGACGTGTTTACTTTTGTTCAGAGATCACAGGAGATGTTGAAAATGCTGTCCCTTCTACACGTAGACATTCCACACACCAGTAGAAGAGGTTCTGATTTAACCTTTGTAGCTGTTCTGCAGGAATAGTTGCAGTTTCCCAATGGGTATTTTCTTTTAGTTCTTCTGTTTGGGGGTTACTGTTGTAAACTTTGCCCCTCAAACAATTTCAGAATATAAAAAAAAAACACAAGGATTAAAATCAGGTGTATGTGCTGGCCAAATATCACTACTGATAATTCTGTCCCAGAAGGCATCGAACAAAGCCTGCACAGATATACATGCAGTTTGGGCAGTAACTGAGTCTTGCTGAAACCAGCCAACCTGTGCATAGGTCTTCTCACTCCCACCAGGAAAATGCATGGATATGAGATATCATTACTTCATTTGCAATCCTTTTAAATCCTACCATCATTCCAATGTTTGAAGCAGTTCAGAAGTGTAGTTAAATAATCAAAGCATCAATCAATATCTTTTTTACTAAATGATCAATTTTCATAAAATCTTTCTGAAGTACTCTGAGAAAACCTGCCCCAGCTCCACTTTGTCCACCACAAATCCCACTTGACCTGACCCGGGATCGAACCCAGGCCGCCGCAGTGGGAAGCCAGTGACTAATCGCTTGAGCTATGGCATGGTCTTCGCCACTCACCTTTGTTCCTTTTTATTTCTTTTCATTATTAATACCAAAATGGCCACACAAACATCTGGGGAGGACATGGCACTGACAAGGCATGAAAAGTGAAGACCATATAAAAATGTGACAATCAGACAAACTGGGAGTCAGTAGATGATTAAAGAATTACACATCTAAACAATACAGAATATCTAGAGGAGCTCTAAAATTACAAGTGAAAGATAGAAGAGCCATAGGAAGACCCAGACTGAAATGGCTCAGCCAATATACTGATAGGTCTGATGGAAGGACAGGAAATATCTGTGGTGTGAAAGAAGATAAAATTTCTATATTTAAGAGAATAAACTGATAACCTCCCTAGGAAAATTACAGCAAATTGGACTTTCAGTCATTTGGGGTTAAATGTTAGCTGGCTTTTCATCTGGAACCCACCTCTTAGGGGGAATAATGCCAGAATTAGAAGATATTATCTCAGTTGACAGAATGTATAATAAACTACCAGCCATTCAGTATCAAAGTGTCCAGAATTCTTGTGAAACCAGCATAAGTTTCACAGGAAATTTACCTTTCTCTAAATTTCTCACTCTTGTGATATGCATACATTCACCTGCCATGTGGTACTCCACCTAGCCACCATTAGCAGCACTGCTCATCAACTTCCATCATGCAGGATCCATTAGGTTCATAGTGCTGCATGATTATCATACAGGTTAGTTTAATTCGTGATTATGTTACAATGTATCACCCATCAACCTACTATGTCTCCTACAGAGACATTCATGCAAGAATTAAAATGCAAAAATGTTATTCAGACTTTCAGAAAGAATGGGAAAAGGTGAAAATTGGGTGTGCATGAGTTTTCCCCATGCAATCAGCAAACTTATGTAAGTGGCACATGCCATACAACAGGAGGTTTACTGTACTAAGGAATACAATATCACAGTCACAGTGATTCAATGTCACCAAGACCAAGAATTCTTATACAGATCCAAAACTGTCATATAATCAGGAATCTTACAAGCCTGCTGAAAGCTTTGAGATAAGGAATTCTTCTGTTGTAGCTGAACTGTTATATATCTCTTAGTGCTGAAAACTGTCAAAAATCTTGTGTAGTGACTAAGAGTTGTTACATATAAAAAATTCCTGAGTGAGTATTAAAAGCCATCAAATCAGAAATGCTTGCAAAATCAAAAGTTTCTTGACAAATTTAATATTGTTATGTGGTAGGTGAAGTTGTAATATGTCTAAATATTCTCTGGTGGGTGCTGAAAGCCATAGTCAGAATTGTTTACAAAACAAAACAAAAAAAAAAAGTGATCAAGTATTCTGGGGCATCTAGAGATNGGGGGGAAAAACCTAAAGTTGTTGCTATGCTTAACTAATTGAGCACTACACCATGAAGGTGTATGGAGGAGTGATTGTACTGACCCACATTTTCTTGACCTCAGCACTAGCTAGAGGTGAGTGATCAGCTTCACTCCCCACCTGCTTTACCCCCAGTACCCATTAGATAGGAGGCTGTGTGGGCCCAAGAGCTAGTCTGGACAACAGGGAGAAGTGAAAATTCTTGCCTCAACTGTGACTTGAACTCAAACCCTTTGGTTGTCCAGCCTGTAGCCAGTCACTATACCTAAAATTTATTAGTTTAGTGCTAAAGCCATTAAATAAATCACAATTCTTTGCAAAGCTATCACCTGATTCAGCACGGTTTCATCTCATGCCTGAAAGGTGTCTTATAATTCATACATGGGGTACAGCTCAAAATTCTTATGTGACTGATAGCTGTAATGTATCTCAAAAAGCCTAAGGGGTGGGTGAATAATGTAACATAGTCTGGAATTCTCATATGTTGGCTGAAAGTCTTTTGGGAACTGGAGTCCCTATGCAATGGCTCAGTAATGCAGCAATACAGGGGTTTTCTTTGCTCAGATTGCCTATCCTGAGCTAAAAAAACATTAGGAACATTCATATTTTATGTATCAGCTAAGTTCTTCTGGCTTGATTTTCAGTTTTTGAAACATGAACAAAATACTGTGACATGATGCCCAAAAACCGGAATAGTGAAATCCATTGATAGGCAACTGCTCAGGAAACACTCCCATGGCAATGAATACACAAGCAACAATTGAATAACTTCTGTTGCTATGCAACAGTGCTGTAAACATGCCTTCTCAACAATAGACAGGCTGTTTTTTCTGCATGGTCCATGCAAAATGGTTTATAGAGAAGAGTTAGTCCAGTTTCGAGATGCCAGCCTGCCAGGATACGATCTTGGGAGCAGAGGAATTGAACTGAGTCTTTGGTATTGGCAATTGCAGAATAATGGCAAGAAATGAATTAGGTTGTGAAAAGAAGACTCCATGTGTGATTTTAAGTGACAGTGAGACTGTTACAGAGCCACTGCCAGGATATGTCTAATGAAGACTGAGAACCCTACTGAGTGTGTGTAACAGTGAAAGTGAAGTGTAAAGTGTGCACATCAGCAATAGCACTGTCATTGCCTGCAGTTAGGAGCTGTGTGTATAAGGTGTCAATAAATCTAATTATCCCATCCAAAAACTTGTCTATAAGTTTACACACTCCCCTAAATCGTGATAATATAACAGCAATTTCCACCAATGAAATGAAATTATGCCCCCCCCCCAAGCAGTTCTTCAATTTAAAAATCTGTTTAACTTTCAACTGGAGAGCATAATGGTATGCTCAGCATATTTTAAAAACTTTTACTGTAGTCAGTAGTGTTCACTCATTGCCAGTGAACAGTCTGTATTGTTTGTCAACATCGGGTTCAAGTCTGATGAGGTCATTGGATTTTTTTTCAGTTGACCTAATCCTTCCAGCCACACTGTGGCCCTGGGGTTGACTCAGCTTCTAACAGAAATGAGTACCAGGAATATTTTTGGGGTTAAAGAGTGGCCAGTGCATAAGGCTGACAACCTTGCCGCCATCTATGAGCCAACTGTCTAGAAAATGTGGGAACCTCAACATCTCACAACCCTATGGGCCTTCAGAGCCTGTTACAGGGATATCTTTACTTTACTTTTTTTACTTACTTATGAATCATTAGTTACCTCTCCCATTAATTTATTTACCGTTTTTGTCAATATTTAAATAATTCAAAGACAGTTACTGAAGCTGACTGATCAAAAAAGCTTTATATATATCAAAGAAACCATTATGTGAACAATGCTTCTGGACAGTTTCATTTCAACACAGTATTAAAATCTATTTGCAATACAGAGATCCGTTAATATAATCTATACATACAAAAAATTCAATTGACTGAAAGAAAACAACTCTTCCCATATAAACATCAGTAATACTCTTTATGGTATGCATCCTGTTGTGTGTCATGATATCACAAATGGGGTTGTCTATACAACAATAATACCTACGAATGTAATCAAAGACCAATACTCATGTATCTTCATATCTCAAGTGTAACTTGAGTAGTTAATTATAAAAATTCAGATTTTTTTAAAAATATTGATCTTTAATTTTTATTTTCAAGGACAAAATTAATAATTAACTAAGTAACATGAAAATCCAAACTATACAGAAAGTTATCAGTCTTAATATCTAAACAAAATTAAATAATGATTTGGTTAAAATTAAAAACTATATTATCAGAGTGTATTTATTAGATGTATTTAATAATCAGGTAGTATTCGCTAACAAATTGTAATAATATGGATCCATATCAGAATAAAATTCAAGAACTAAGACCGAATTCTTGTTAAGTAGACCTGATGATGACCCCTTGAAGGTCGAAACATAGCGCAACACCTCTCCACAATAAACGAATTGTGATACATTACTACCGACTTGTCTTTGTTTACATTCATAGATATTATTGTTGCACAGACAGCCACATTTGTGATATTAGTACTATTAAGTTCTACTTACAATCATAAGATTACATTACAAGTAATGAAGAGGGTAGAAAATGCCAGTACTCGTATGTTTCAGTTTCTCAAGTAAAATTTATATTCTGCATTTTCAATTTGAAATATCTTTTCCTGTTTACTGATTTCACATTCTCATGTTGCTGAATATTAAGATTACAGTGTTCTGGGATGTGACACCATGTAGTGTAGCAGCTAGGTACCAATATTTCAGATGAACCTGAAGATAGAGAAAAGTACATCCCCAAGAAACACTGGTACTTAGCTACCAGACCACACAGAATCATATTCAAGAAGACCATAATCTTAATCCTTCCTCTTTCTTAAATCAATCCATTATGAGATTTCATTAGTACAAACTACAATAATCCACACAGGTGTCACAGTGACACACAATTACATCAACTTCGTTATTTACATTTTGGATCACAATATTTTTGTAATGCAAAGAAAGAAATCTTTGTAAAGAGAATGCAGTATGATAGGTCTCTGAGGAATATTCACAAATTTTCACTGCACAAAATTTGTTTCTAGGGCTCACACCCCTTTCCTCCACTTCTCAGCTGTGGTAAACTCTGTCATTGGCTTCCCGCTCATTCCACATGTGCCAATGCCAACTCGTCCATTTACATTATCTGGTGATGCAAATATACTTTTCTTGGTCATTCCCTTCTTTGCAGTCTGAAAGCAAGATACAGCAATATGACTGGTGTTGCCAGGGATGAAATTTGAGAGAGGTTATGTTTGTGAATTCTTATTGTTGCTTTTGCACCAACATCCTCCATACCATATTAATTTATTTCAGAGGGCTAGAAATTTTCTCACCATACCTTGTATCTTCCATTTTAGATTTTTTGTACACTCAGAAGCAATGGCTCTTTGATAATGTGAAACACTTGCAAAACGCACATCAACTATGGAGAGAATATGATGGAAAAAATTATGATGTTCTGTACAACAAATGACAATAATGAATATAACAAACAACCTTGAAAAATTCTATAGGGTTCTGATGATCATGTATAACACTCAGAATTACTGGGTTTTGGGATTCTGTACATCATCTGGCATTATAAAACTATAAAAAACATTTCCGAAACTAGATCTGTTTCCTTCCTCAGATAAGGAGAGGAGACCTACTCTGTTGGGTCCCCTAGAAAGACTATAATATTAACAGGATGATCAAATTGAGAAGAATGAGATGGACAGGGTATGTAGCACATATGATAAAGATTAGAAATGCACTGTCATAAAGCCTGAAGCAAAGATACCACACAAAACATAAACAGGAGAATATTTCTTGGAGCAGGTGGTTGTGAGAGTGTGAAGTGGCTTCATTAGCTGTTGGGTAGTTATTTTTTTTTGTACAACACTCTCAGTAGCTAAACTGTGAAGTACTGAATCATGAATGACTAACTGGAACGGATTCTGAAGGAAGTGGTCATGGCTTAATTATATGATCCTGGCATATGGCTGATGGGGCTGGGGAAAACCCTGGAAAACCTCAGTCAAAAGAGGTGGTATCTGACCTGAGATGGGAACCAAGCACCTGTCAAATATAAGTCCAGAGTGTTACTGCTAGGCCAACCCATTCAGTATGAACATAGTGAACATATTTTTGGGGTTTTCAGAGTACCTGAGAAGTTCAGTCACTCAGGCAGTCGAGAAATTTCTTGCTTTTTAAGGAATGTGAATATGGCAATGAACCTAGGGTTCCCTAAAAAGCAAGATATTTCTTATGGCACCTGAGGTTCTCATAGCAGTCAGCTGTACTATAAACTGTTAATGATCACCAGGGCCCAGATTTTGATGACCTAAAAATATCTGAAAAATGATCTATAAAATGACCAAAAAACATTTAAAAAATGACCTAAAAATGTAAAAAAATAACCTAAAAACTAATTTCTAAATTTTCTTAAAATCAGGTAGATGCAAACTGTGTAAATTAGTTTCCAATTCCTTGATTTTATGACACCTGGACATCTGTTTAAACATACCCCTCTCCATTTCTGAGGCATCGATTTTATGAGTTTATGATATAGTGGTGGCTTAGAAAGCTGCGCGGGACAGTAACGGCATCTCTGGCGGCTTAGAAAGAAAAATAATGTGCCCTCTCACAAACAAATCTATTATATTTAGCGACAGAGGCTAGAGATACAAAACAAAATTTACTTGAAGAACATAGATTTCTACTTCACGAATCAAATATCTTCAGTTTGAGCAATGAATGTCGATTATTAAAAAACGTGAAAGATAACCAAAATTGATGTAAAACGTGAAAAAATGACGAAAATGACGTAAAAACTTGTAAAAATGACCTAAAACTTAAAACATACAAAATATGACAAAAATGCACAATAAAATTCACATTTTTATAACCAGAGGTTCATAATCAGGGCTTTAGTACTTAAAAGCAACGTTTACTACATAAAGAAAAAAAGATGACATGTCATCAAAATCCGGGCTCTGATGATCACATACCTTGGAATTGAATGCAAGCCATTTGTTCTTCTCTCCTTCTCTTTCTTCTTCCATCTGCTTGTACCTCTGAAGCTTCTTTTGTTTCTTTTTTTTCTGGTATTCACGCTGTTTTGATATTACTTGTTTCCTGTAACATTAATGAAAAAAGAACATAAAAAACTGCAATATGGACCAAACTTAACAGTTAGACAAACCAGTATGACACAATGAAGTCCTGAAACTCTAATTTCAGGTATCCCATCAGGACAATGGATATCACAAGCAAAAAGAAATAACCTTAACCCTCATCATTCCACTGCTGGGGAAGTGCTGAAATTAAGAATTTCTTGTAAAGATTCTTTGTCATAGTCTGGCAGCAAATGATGTAGCTACCGTTTAAGTCTGAATATAAGGAGACACCCTCTTCCAATGAGAAAATCATAAAGTTTTTTTTTAACAGAACCGAATGTGTCATTAAGTTCTGAGAGTTGTAGGAAGAAGAAGAAAAACTAAGACAAAATAAATTCAAAAGATGGCATCATTCTAGGCATTTTCGTGAATATCATTATAATCAGCAATCAGGACTCATAATCATCTTCACATCTTTTCTAACATGTGGTATTTGAAACAAAACCTTGTCTTATATTTGGGCTAATACACTAAATACACAGTTTCTGCCATCTTTTAGCAACATATTTAACCACGACATCTGTGTGTGTATAAGCTGCAATTCTTTGACAAAAATTTACTCTCTGAAATTGGGGTGAAGCTTATACATGCAATATTATGCAATATAATCAGAAAAAAACTATGCCTAAAAAACCTTACAAAAAATCAATGCTCTGAAAGAAAAAGTTATTCCTGTATCAGGCTGTGGAGACCCAAAGGGTTGTGAGAAGTCAAGGTTCCAAACATTTTATAAACAAGCAGCTCAGAGATGGCAGTGAGGTTGTCAGTCTTATGCCCCGGCTACCATTTACCCCAGGAAGATTACTGGTACTCATTTCTGTTGGAGGCAAAGTCGACTCTAGGGCCATACTGCAGCTGGAAGGATTAGGTCTACTGAAATATCCAATGATGTCATTGGGAATTGAATCCATGATCTTCTGGCTTGGAGCATAGTGCCTCAACCAACTATGCTACCGTGTGGCGAAAAATCAATGCTCTACTTTTATTAATTTGTTGTAATATTTTAGCTATAAAATACGTCATCTATATAAATAAAAATGTAACTGCTGGTTTGGCTCTCCTCGAAGATCTCCAAAAGTTCACAGATTGCTTCGAAATTTTGACACAACGTTGTATTCGAGCACGCGCATGCTTTTATATGCCTATTATGTAGATGTCACACCTGTGACAGGTAAAAACAGGTAAAAGTATTAATTGTATTCAATATTAATATACTGTAACTTGTTATACGTCGAATACCAACAGATCGTTGCCTAGGAATAACCGTGGCAACGAACTGTTGAAACAGCGGAAATAATGCATTTCTGCGGCAACGAGCACAGAACACGTGAAATGGAACCCTCGGCGAAAGTGCCCTCTGTTGCGTCCGAAACCGGGTTATAATAGTCCAGCTCCGAAGAAATTTTCAGTGATACTGGACGTGATAATAATTGAGCTCGCTGGTGTAAAAGTGAGCATTCAATAACTTATTCGCTGAATCTGAGACGTGCGTGGAAGTTATTTCATAAGTATAGTTTATTTTCTGTTGTTTTTCTTGTCGTTTTCTAAGAACAAGCTTAGGTCGTCGTACTCGCAGAGCAGAAGCAATGCGTCGAGTAATTTCAAATCAAACTGGGGAAGAACGGGCAGACTGAGCCACAGCAAGGCGTGGCCAGGCACAGCTAGTCTATATAAATAAAAACGTAACTGTTGGTTTGTCTCTGGTTGAAGATCTCCGAAAGTTCTTCACCGATTGCTTCAAAATTTTGACAGAAAGTTGCATTCGAATATGCGCGTTTTTATATACCTATTATGTAGATGTCATGCCTGTGACAGGTAAAAACAGGTAAAAACCTGTCACATGTTCGGAATCCAGGAGTCTTTTCCATAGTAATGCTAGAACAGGCCATTTTTGTTGCGTAACAACGGATAAAATCGGAAAGTATATTTCCATGGAAACGCAATAACAGTGGGCCATTGCATAGGAATTGAGGTTCCGTTGCGTAACGACGGATGAAACCAAATATTTCTACAAGGTGTTCTGTGCTAGCATCTCCTAAGCAACAGATGAAACTAACTCTAGAACAGACCGTTGCATAACAACAGATGAAACCAGAAACTATACTTCCATGGAAACACAATTACAGTGGGCCACTGCATAGGAATTGAGGTTCCGTTCCGTAACGATGGATAAAACGAAACACTTCTACAAGGTGTTCTGTGCTAGCATTTCCTATGCAACAGATGAAACTAACTCTTCGATTAGGTATTCCCTATCCCGTCCGACCGCTGGCTATATGTGTAAGAGAGTGTAGCTCCAGCGACTGTTCAGTATCACGCGTCTGGAATAACCACCGAGGAAGTGAGTCTGGAGTACAGTTTATTTTTCATTGTTTTTCATTTCGTCTTCTTCAGTGCTTCATCAGTGCAATTGATCTGCTTTAATTCATCCAAATAATACCTCGCAGAAGATCAAACTTAGGTCATCGTACTCACAGAGCGGAAGCAATGCGTCGAGTAATTTCATATTAAACCGGGGAAGAACGGGCAGACTGAGCCACAGCAAGGCGTGGCCAGGCACAGCTAGTATAAATATAAAAATAATTATTTAAACAAAGGAAATGATCTTCACTATAGTCATCTCCTCTTGGCAGCATTCTTTATTGGAATGATGCTAGTAACTTTAAAACTTTTCACTATCCCATCTTGCAAAACAGATGACCATCAAGAATCCACTTGCACATTTCCATTAGCATGTCCCTGTTAGCACTGCACCATGTTTTCTACATCCACACATTATATGAACATGGAATGGGTGCTTTAAATAGCTGACTGATTACGATGTCAAGTGGCTGAAACATCCATCATTCCTCCTGATATGTTGATTAGGTTGCATTTCACTTTTCAAAACTGGGCCTTCACATTTTTGTGGTATGGCCCCAGAAGCTGTATGAAAGCAGTGTGGACTGCTAGCATAACAGTGCACCCAGCTGTTGAAACCATACACATGCAACCCAGTCTTCAACTTGATCTTCAGTCATCTGACAACTTTCCTGTACTCATACCATAATTCCCAGAAGGCCCTTTTCCTTTGCCACTGTCTTCCATTTAAGTATCACATAACGAGGCAATGTTTATCCACCAGATGTGACAGCCAGCATTAGAGTGCAGTGTTGTTTCTCATCTCCTAAAGTTCTTCATGCTGCTCAGGACATATTACTGGAAATTGGTCAGCTTTTCCTCATATGTTTCTGGTAGTCTCTGTCCTATTGACATTTGATGCCTAATGGTGCAGTCACATCTGACCATAAAATGGTTCACCCTTCCTAAACTGAATCTGCACTAGCTGACAGATATACACAGTTTCCTTGCTAACTGGCAGCCCTTCAACTCAGCACCTTCTTCACTACTGCAAATTTGTTTCCACCATATTCATAATATTGTGATGTGGATGGCAAAACAGGAAGTAAGGGTCACATGAACTATGCATTTCCACAAGTGACGTCACATACCCCCTCCTCCCATCATTACACAACGCTCAGTAAACACCCCTCCCCACGAGGCTGTGACGTCACACAACAGGTGAGTTCGTGCAGTGACTATTGCTAGACAATGTGTAGGCAGAAACACCTGACAACAATATCTGATATCTGTTGCCAAGCAGAAATGTGTTCTCTATGTTGTCTGTGCTGAGCCTAAATGAGGAGCATAGTTACTAGATGGTGAGTACTGAGCCAGTTACTAGAGAGAGAGTTACTAGTATTCAGTATGAGTTCAAGTCCAGCAGCTACGAGTTGAGTTGTATCGGGTGAATGGCAGTGACTACACCAGGAGAAATAATTGTGATACTGCATGTGGCAATAATTGTGAACTGTGAATTGTGTAAATGTAAGAGTGAGTGTTCAATAAATTCGCTAAGATCCAAAATGGCATGAAGTTATTTGTCATGTCACATACCCAACACGTGACAATATATTGATATAATTCAGCCTCAACATATGGATACTTGAACTGTTTGCCATTCCACATTTCTTTTTAAATTTCTTTCAGCTTTTACACCTGATAATTGTCTTATGTTCATTTCCTCAACATCAGATCTTCTCCCTGCAGCTTCATATCCATGTTTTTGTGCATATAAAACAATTTCCAACTTAAAGTTCTACATGGAACCAATGCACAGATAGAACAGACTGAAGATATACGATGGGGTACCCAAAAGAAACCGAACTAATTTTTTTGTGGGCAGAGCTTTTGTAGTACCGTGTTTTGCCACTATGAGCGCATAGAGCTAACATTCCTGAGTCGATAAGCCGACTACCGTTGCTTCAGAAGGTAAGGACTAGTTTCGGCAGAGTTTATAGTGACAACTGTTTTGTGTGATCGTCGTTTTTGCAATGGCTGATTTTCGTGAACAGCGTGCAGCGGTGAAATTCTGCTTTTGGCTCGGGAAAAGTGGAACAGAAACTCTTGAAATGTTAAAAACGGCATACAAGGAC